AGAGAAAATCTTGTAATTTCAGAATACGTTCAAAATCAAGGTTAATAGCTCAAAGTGTGATAAAATTAGACAAATTTGAACAACTATGGAAAAACTTTCTTATATCTGTAGATACTTGTAGAATCCTTTTGTCGTCTGCTTTTCTCCTTTTGTCTTTCGATCTGCTCCAAGACAAAATCAGCGTTTTGTGCCTGTGAAAGTCAAAACCATTCTGGACACTTCAACTTTGCTTACACCCTTCTCTTTAGACAACCCAGACTCTCTTTATAGCTATAACACAGGCTCCAAATTGAATCAAGCACAAAAAAAAAAAATCACATAAAATATCTTTAAATTAAACCACGTCTGGTTGAACTCACACTCTTTGGGTCACTGTCACTGGATCTAACACCTTTATCCACTGTGCCAGAAATTCATACACAGATGTCCTCAAGGACACATGGCACTGTGGATAAAGGCGTTAGTTAGATCAAGTGACACGACTCCCAAAAGTGAGTTCAATACTGCAGAAAGAAATGGCAACCTACTGCGGGAAAAATCTGCCTCGTCAGTCATGTATCGAAAGATACATGATCGTCTAAGCGTGTATCACGCATGTTATATGACTGACTGTGAGCCAAAGTGGGTTGGTCCGACCGGCCTTTAAGTCGGGGAGAGCCGAGAGTTAGAATTTGCATACTAAAATTACTTCGTCATTTTAACAGGTGGAGAATAACTAATTTTCAAGGTGGGCGAGGTGAGGCACAGGTTTCAGGAGCCTGCCCCTTCACGATAGGTCTGATTTTAGCTCCCATTCACACATAGTAATATATTTAGCTTAGCCACATTTTGCCGAAGTCCAACAATCTCTCATATATATATATATATATATATATATATATATATAATTTAATTTAATTTGAAGAAAAACATACCACTTTAAGGCTCCATTGTAATAAATTATTTCACCAGAGACTTTTATTCTTTCCTGGATCTTTCCCCCCCACCGCCAAGAAATAATTTTTTCCTGTTGGCCATCCTTTTTGCACGGCTTACATTCATCACTACACTGTTCATTTCAAACCAAGTATTATGGCTGGTGTTCAACGCGTTCCCAATCAACAGGTTTTTTGAAGACATCACCATTTTTGAAGATTAGAGCACAGTTTTACAATACTATTGATAATTGCATTGACTGGTGCTGTATCTATGGTTTGCTAGCAGTCAGTATGGACTGCATTGCTTGCAACAGCCGTTGTAGGGAACAAACCTATTTGCGAGCGGTGGACAACAGGATTGCGAGGTGCGCAAGTAAAACTTCATGGATGCGAAAGTGTCAGTGCGCCGATACCCATATTTGGGTAGACGTTCTGTTTATTTGTTTTCGTATACACCCGTATGAATATTCGAGAAATCTTATTAAGAGAAAAATATTCGCTCTTTGACTGGATTCGAACCTGCGTCCTCCCACTCACCGGAAGTGGAAATCGTCGTTAGATCCAACGGCCGGCTGAGCGACGATAAAATTTACTGATCAGGCAAAGATAAATAGTACCTTTTAATTTTTCTCGTCGTAGGCTCTCGAAATTCTATCTACAGTGTAACCCGGATATAAGAGACCCGGATACAAGACAAATCCGGATATAAGAGAGATTTTCTCTGGTCCCAAATTAGAGCCCATACTTACATAAACAAAATAGACCAAACCCGGATATAAGAGACTTCTTCTCCGGTCCCGACAACTCTCTTATATTCGGGTTACACTTACATAGATTCGTATTCAAACTTAAACAAAGCAATTGTTTAAACAAATTCATTACTTCTTTTCAACAAAAAAAAAATTATACACACACACACATACATACATACATATATATATATATATATAGCTAGCTGCTCGGGTTGAGGAATTGGAGAGCCGAGGTCGAATTCCAATCAAATCAATTACATTCATTTACGTGCTAATACCCTTGAAAGGGTATGAATCCTCTTCTTCTCCCCCCCCCAAGAACAGACCGGGTTCTATAGACTTGGATGGTACTTGGTCTACCGCAGGAAGGAATGGCAACCTACTGCGGGAAATAAAATCTGCCTCGTCAGTCATGCATCGAAAGATATATGATCGCCTAAGCGTGTATCATGCATGGTACATAACTGACTGACCTTTGGGAAAGGTATGAACCCTCTTCTTCCCGCCCCCCCCCAGCTATGGGGAAATAGCCGAACAGGCCGGGTTCTATAAACTTTGATGGCAATTGATCTACCGTAGCAAGAAATGGCAACCTACTGCGGGAAAAATAAATCTGCCCCGTCAGTCATGTATCGAAAGATACATGATCGCCTAAGCGTGTTTCACGCATGGCACATATATATTTATATCTGCAAACTTCCTTTACCCACGTAATTCAAATCTTCATTTTCATCGTAGCTAAGAAACACTGTTTCTTCCGTTGAACGACAGAACCACACGACTGCAAAAAGAAATGGTTTCCACACAAAGAACTGCCTACGAAACATACAAATCATGTAGCGATTAACAAGCTTACACAACGACTCAGTAATAAAAGAAGATAAACAATCATTCGTATTATATATATGTATGTACGTATGTGAAAGAAGAGAGTGAAATCACATAAAAAGTTAAAGACCCACCCACAGGGAATGAGAATTAAAATCCTTTTTTCGAATATAGTCCATTCTGTAATTTCCAATCTATTATAACATAAAAAACACAATTTGTTTATCCCTTAAATACATCGTACGCACATTATGATCTCGACTTGGGCTATAAAAAGCTATGTATTCAAAATAAGGCGAAAATATTGTTCGAAATGCAATAGAAGTTATTTTTTCAGTTAGTAAAACCTGAAAAATAATTCAGTCTTAGATTTTGAAGAACGAAAATGAAATAGATGAAAGAAAAGGTTGAACTTACCTGCACTTGAGATAAAACGAAAAAGTGTCGTCCGAAATTCAATATAATTTATTTCAACTAGCGTCAGTAAAGTCCATTTTTCTGTCTCTTATTTGAAGAAAGGATAACGTTTCTTGAGTATCCATCAAAATGAGTTGGGCTTCTTAGACAAGGTATGGCCAGAATTTGAAAAACCAAACTATAAGCTGATGTAAGAATTTCAAAACGAGGCACGTAGCTTGATTAAAATAAATTAAAAAAAAAAGTAAATAAAAGTTGGTTAATTTGCAGTTTAGCACCCGCGCTCAGTTCGCATTAAAAATTTCCAGAATATTTACATTTATGTGTATTTGTAAATGCTTCATTCGAATGTGGCTTGATAAATTTGATAAAATCTACCGTTTTGGAGTTATCGACAGTAAAAGTTCGGATTTATTCGCGTCGCGGGAATGCATTTACTGGCGTTGTTTGCGCGGGTACTAAACTGCAAATTAACCTAAAAGTTTATAAAATAAGGAATATTACTTTCTGTCATCTGATAGTGATTTTGTAAGCGTATCTTAGATGTAGCACAAGGCCGAAAGTATGGAGCACCCAGTGGGGATCGAGCTCATTCACAATTGATCTAGCGGGATAAGCTTGTTAACCAATACACCACGTCGAAGTACCCATAGGAAATATATAAAAGAAAGAAAAACACTACGTGATAAAGAAAGTGCCGATGGCCATTTTATTCCCTAGATAAGTTCAGTCCGAGAAGAAGAATGAAATAAAAATAAAAATTATAAATAGAAAATTGTAAAAGGGAGGGGGTTGTGAAAACAAAAAAGTGAGGGGAGTGTGTCTACCACAAGCTCTGCGTTAGGTTAAAGGGAAAAAAAATTACAAAAAAAAAAAAAAAATAGCCGCTTTGTCGGATCAAATGTATATGAACCGAATCAAATACATGTAATTTTTTTTTTAATGGAAATAATGTCTATACTCAAGTATCGTGCTAAGTTTATAATCATTTTTTTACGCCCCCCACCCTAAAAAAGGTCGCATTTTACACAGATATTTTTTTTTGAAGAGGTTAAAAATCATGCATTTCCGGTGACCGGTTGCATTATACACAGATAAATTTTTCTGGAGTTAAAATTCTAGTAAAATAAAGCGAACAAAACCATATACAGGGAGTCCTCGGCTTACGCCGGAGATCCCTTCCTACGGCGCGAACTAATGGGATTTTCGACGTAGGTCTGAACTCACCTACATAAGCACCCACGAGTCTGCCTTACGCTTGGGAGCCGTAATGAAGGGCAAAAAGTACCCTCTCCACCAAAAACAACAACAAAAAAAAAACAAAAAAAAAAAAAACAACACAAACAAGAGATAGGGAATATAGCACAATCCAATATGGCGTACAGTCGCTGAAGAAACAACGCCGTCTTCTTCATGTAGCGCCGCGTGACGTCCTAGAACAATCTACTGCGGTGGATGAAATAAAGGGTTCTTTTCGAAATTCTAACGTATATCACCTGAAGAAGGCCGGAGCGTACAACGGCCGAAACGTTGTGCATATGACAATAAAGATAAGGACAGCAGTCCGAACAATGTAAAATTTTTACTTGTTAAATTAAAATCTTACAGCTAAGTTCGAATGTTTTCAGTCCATAAACACATTTGGCTTAAAGATTTATCATAAAGCTTAAACATCTCGCTTAAAGATTTATCATAAAGCTTAAACATCCGGCTTACAGATTTATCATAAAGATTTATCATAAAGCTTACACATTTATCAGTCCTCCCACGTCGCAATCGAATGTGACACAAGGTCGAATTTAATGTGCATTTACTGACAATACCTTAGAAAAATTGCTCGTGTCACCTTGGCATTTCCCTTTCGAGGATGCCTCAAGCGCCGGGTAATGACCCTAGGATAATCCTGAAGGAGAGGTACTGGCTGGTGGGATGCCTCCCTGGGGCTTGAGATAATATCATTTTTGACTTCCCCGACAGAAGCGAACTTCTCCAAAATGGAAATATACCAGGTTAAACTTTTGGATTTCAGTAGAGAAAATGGCAAAGCACTTTCAGAGTTTCAATGACAGACAAAATGTATTTAGGCTTACGGCCATAACAAGCTGAAACACTGGCTCCCGTACGATCACCGAAGTTAAGCAATGTCGAGCCTGGTCCGTACCTAGATGGGTGACCGCTTGGGAAAACCAAGTTGTGTAAGCTTGGATGTGCAGGTGGTATACTGTGTTTATGACCATATCATGTTGAAACACAAGTTCCCGAAGTTAAGCAACGTCAAGTCTGGTTAGAAACTATATGGGTGACCGTTTGGGAATACCAAGTGTTTTGGTGTGCGGATGGTGTAATGGATAATGACTCGGAATTGTTAATCGGGAATCCGAGTTCCAATTCCTGTTGGGTTCGTTATTTTCACTTACGGGCAAAATACTCTTGGAAAGGCTATGAATCCACATCTTCTCCCCCAGCTATGGGTTGATTAGTAAGACGTATATCCCTAAATCATTATCATCTAAAAAATAAAAGTTCTTATAAAATTAAAAAATATTTTCTTGCTTTAAATAACCTGCAAAGTTTTGATAGGCTGTAAAAACGAATCAATCAATGTATAAAATGTATTTAATAATTCAAGCCACGGCATGGTATTTAGCAATGATAAGTTTACTAATAAATTACAGTTCAAACAGTGTGTCCTAAGTAGAACAAGATAAAAAGGAAATTTCTGGAGCGAGATTGTTCTTATCTAGTCGCCAAACCATATCCATCCAGTGTTGCCCACAGAGCCTTGCCTGGGGTATTAAGGTTTCAAGGTCGTTAACTGTGGATGGATCTTCAAGATTGGGGTAAACTAGAAGATGCTTCATAGCATTGGCAGCTGGGGGTCAACATCGATGGCATATCTTCATTTCTGAAGGTTCGTTCAACAGCGTCCAGCATCTATCCGAAGGCGATTCAGGCAGGACCAGAAGGACCAGACATCACTGGAAACAGTTGGGGAGCCGGGATTCTGTAGGGCTGAGAGAGTGAGCCTGTGTTCTACGTTGTTAAGGTGGCTGCACCACAGGGGAAGACATTGACTTGGAGCTCTGTTGTTCAGTGGTTTAACTGAATGTAGAAAGCTGTCTTGACTTGAGCCTCTTTGTCATTGGTTCACAGCCGTGGAGTGAATACGAGGGTCAGTTTCCTGCTTCAACTTCACAAGCTGAGAGTGAACTGTCCTTCTGATGTAAGTGGGGACAGGAGGGTGAAACCACTACGCAAGTAGAAGTCATCCACTTTGGTTGGCTTGAGACACCCAGTGATTTAGCTGCACGCATAAGGTAGGTTCGATTTTCTTTGCATGTGAAGATCTGTTCCACACTGGAACGAGATAAACGGTTTTAATTACACAACAAAAAGATTTACGGTTTTGGAGAAATAAGGTTTGCGGTACAAACGATTCATCATCAAGATTCAAAGATCAAATTGCTTTTTATAAAAAACATTCCTGAACAAAGTCTCACAATATGATTAAGATCTGAATCAGAAAAACGAAATTTCATATTACCTCACGACAGAGAGACTAACTCCTTAACACAATACCCAAGATTCACTTGAGATAGATAGATAGATAGATAGATAGATAGATAGATAGATAGATAGTGAACAGGCTGGAATAGATAGATAGATAGATAGATAGATAGATAGATAGATAGATAGATAGATAGTAGGTCACTCGTATTTGAGGATGCCCATCTACTAGGGCGGCTAGCCAATCCCTATTGCAGACGCTTGGTCAGACGCATTTGTGTTTATTCAACACCCTGCCGTTTATACTGCAACTATACTGAACAGACCTTAGTTACAGTTTCTTGGAAAGAGCGTGTTATCTAGCGTGATCACAAGATAGATAGATAGATATATAGATAGATAAAGAAAGAATAGACTGAAATACAGATAGCTAGCTAGCTAGCTAGCTAGCTAGATAGATAAAGAATAAACTGAAATACAGATAGATAGATAGATAGATAGATAGATAGATAGATAGATAAAGAATAGATAAAGAATAGATAGATAGATAGATAGATAGATAGATAGATAGATAGATATTACCTCCTGGAAGAGAGACTAACTTCTCAATACAATGAGCAAGATCTACTCGGGCTAGAGGATAACAGAGTAAGAGGTAAGGGGGAGTAGTTTGTGAAGATATATGGGAAAGATAACAACTAACCCTAGACTTGAACAGGTTAGTGATTGTAGTGATCACGGAAGCATCTCATGGGGAGTCCGTTCCACAAAGTAGTAGTTCGTGGAAAGAAGCTGTTCCAGTGGAACTTACAGCTCACTAGTGGAATAAGAAGGGGTATTTTTCAGCGCGTTCATGTCGATACCGAATGTGACATAAGGTCAAGGTTTAAAGTGGGTTTAACGGCAATACCGTGCAAAAATTACCCAAGATCCATTGGCACTTCCTCTACTGGAAGAAGAAGAAGAAGAAGAAGAAGAAGATGCTTATTCATTGCATTCTTCTGCTTTTGTTAACATCCCATGTGTCCTCTGAGTGTTAAATTTTCTAAGCCTTCTTTCCTCATTATGTCCTCACCAAAAATTTCAGTTATCTATTTTTATTGTTGGCAACAGTTTTTCTTTTTAAGCCGGTGGAAAGTTTGCGCCATGTTTTTGCTGTAAAACACCAGGCTCTGTTACTCAAGTGTCCCCTATACCCAATTTCACTCACAAGGCTTGGGTCAACTCGTGGTATGGTTTTCCAAAGACCGACTGACAAACCAACCAAATCAACAGCAGTGAGACTCGAATCCGGCTCTCGTGATTATAAAGCGAACGTTCTACCCACTCGGCCACGAAATACTTACATACCTACATACACATGCTAAGGACTGAAAAACTGTCAACACGAGAACTTTTGATACGAACTTATGAACTCTTTGAATATTATTTTATATTTTATTATAAGAGATTTAAATATTTATCCGTACATGCAATATATATCTTTATATTAATTATCTTCGCGTGTATTTTTAAAAGGCCATAAATTGGTGTATATTTGGATTAAGGACGTTATCCAAAGATAACCACCTGTAAACAAGTTTAGTAAACTTTGGTGACTTCCACACCAACAGACCTCCACACCAGGACCTCGACTCCTACACGGACTCAGTATCACCCTAAAGAGCAGTTGTCTGTATGTCTGTGCATTATTGACTTATTAATATTTTTCGGCCATCTTATGGGAAATAATTTTTTATTCAATCTTTAAAAAATTAATTTTATTGTTTTATTGGCTTGTAACTAACATAAAAAAATAATTCATTTTAAATTAAGTTTTATTAAAGCAAAAATCTATAGCGAGCCATATAGATAGCCACTTGTAAACAAATAACTCCCTACTTTGGTGACTTCCACATCTCAACACAAATTCCCCCACAGCCACAGTACTATGTTACATAACAGATAATTTAACATTATTGAAGGCGGGATATTCTTCTAAATGGCAATGCTTCTACGACAGCAGTGACAACTGCCGGAGAGTCAATGCGAGAACGGAGTGAAATGTTAATTTATAACAGACACGATATTCAATCATGCGCCTAAAAGTCATTGTGTCATTGGTTTGTCGAGTTCACAAAGTGTAACCTTATACTTTTTATTTAGATCTGTACATATCTACCTACGAGGCCGGTGGTGCTAAAAAGTCGGTTTCACTCAATTCTGACTAGATCACTAGAATACTGGTTCAGGGAAATGCGTTTGAAAACCTTTCTCGGCTCCCTCTTATCTTTCTGTTAACAAATCTGTCCTGTTCATCTTTTTCACTCTCTTCATATCTAACTCAGGATATCTTTCTTTTTATCTAACTTTCTATTATCTATCTATCTATGTTCTCATCTATTTCAGTCTGTTCTCATCTATTTCAGTCTGTTCTCATCTATCTATCTATCTATCTATCTATCTATCTATCTATCTATCTATCTCTCGCTCTCTCTCTATATATATTTCAGTTTGTTCTTATCTATCTATCTATCTATCTATCTATCTATCTATCTATTTCAGTCTGTTCTCATCTATCTATCTATCTATCTATCTATCTATCTATCTATCTATCTATCTATCTCTCTCTCTCTCTCTATATATATATATTTCAGTTTGTTCTTATCTATCTATCTATCTATCTATCTATCTATCTATCTATCTCTCGCTCTCTCTCTATATATATTTCAGTTTGTTCTTATCTATCTATCTATCTATCTATCTATCTATCTATTTCAGTCTGTTCCCATCTATCTATCTATCTATCTATCTATCTATCTATCTCTCGCTCTCTCTCTCTATATATATATATTTCAGTTTGTTCTTATCTATCTATCTATCTATCTATCTATCTATCTATCTATCTATCTCTCGCTCTCTCTCTATATATATATAGAAATTTCAGTTTGTTCTTATCTATCTATCTATCTATCTATCTATCTATCTATCTATTTCAGTCTGTTCTCATCTATCTATCTATCTATCTATCTATCTATCTATCTATCTATCTATCTATTTCAGTCTGTTCTCATCTATCTATCTATCTATCTATTTATATATATTTCAGTTTGTTCTTATCTATCTATCTATCTATCTATTTTAGTCCGTTCTCATCTATCTATCTATCTTTCAGTCTGTTCTTCTCTCTCTCTCCCTCTCTCTCTCTCTCTCTCTCTCTCTCTCTATATATATATATATATATATATATATATATATATTGTTTTCGGCGATTTTTTACGTGATTTTTGGCGACGATTTTTTTTGTACGAAAACAATTTTTATAACTTGGAAATAAATTTGGGAATAATTGAAATTAATTGCAAAATCCAGCGAAAGTCATCTATAAAATGAAAATAATTGTTTGTACGGAAATAAAGGACCTACGTACATGAAATTGTCTTTAAATTAAATGGCGGCAGAAGAATTATCGTTGAACTTTTAAAAGGCAAGCTTAAATATTAATGCAATACTTAAACGCAAAGATCAATTTTGAGTTTTGTTGTTTTTTGCTGCCTACCGCATTTACTCCTCCCAATCTATTGTGAAGAAGGTCGAATCAAGAGCCACTCGCAAGAGGTAGCTTAAATGCCACCCGATAAGGCAGCTTTTAAACTAGTGTAGCGGCCTACAGAGGTGTCGCTATTTTTAAAAGGATTCATAATATAAAGAATATACAAGGAAATATTGACACCAAAAACCGAGTTACAACAAAGGTAGAGTTCTTAATAAAATGGCCAAAGTTTTATTATTGGCAAACAACCAACAACTTAATTCTATTTATTTTGTTTTTATTGAAATTAAGTTGGAATAAACGTTAATATCAACTGTTGTTCTGAGCTTCATGACAACATAGATACATTTGAATTCTTATAAAACGATATATAGTCTTGTATAATTTTATATATCAGCAGCATTTAGTATGACAAATTTTCTTTTTTATAATCAATAAAATTTATTCAAACAAAACAAGTACAGTTGACCACTGATGACAATTCCAGAACAACGTAACTATAAACAATTTTTTTCTATCCTCTGCCAGCCGCAATGATGGAGAAAGCATTACCTCGAACCATGGCCAGTGAGACACGCTGCAAGAGCCACTCCGTTTTGCGAGGCTTGTCCCTTAATCGAGACGCAATCGCGCCAATCCTCTGAAGGAATGAGAGCCAATAACCCCTGCCACAGGAGAAAAAAAAAAAAAAATCTATCAGCAAGAGAAGAATATTTAACTATTTTTTTTTCATCTCTGCGTCCCGGGCGACGGATCCTGACTCAACCGCGGAACTGATCAAATTACCGACCGAATATGTACCCGCACAGGTCGCATCCCAAATCAACTTAATTACAATTGTGTACATTTATTGATTTGTAAGGATTAAAACCCGTCACGACACCTGGTAAAGGGTGAAAAATTAAAATCACGTAAAAATGTTCCAAAGTGTGATTGTGTAGATATGCAAATATGGTTAAATTAGTAGTCTATAAAAAGGAGTATGGTAACCTCATTCAAGTTGTAAGTCTTTGGGAATGTTCATGTGTTATGGTCCTTTTGATGAAAGAAAGATTTAAAAATCACATGAATCACTTGAAGGGAGTGATTTGGTACTGATATGTAAAATCCAGCGAAAGAGAGTGATATTTATTTGTATTTTTATACAAAATGTGGCACAAGGCCAAAAAGGGGAATAGTGAATAGTCTTAACGTTAAACAAACACTGAACCAAACATACAACAATATTCCTTACACAACAACAACGCAATCTTACTTACTGCAGCCACCATTATACCGCAATGTCTCTAAGAAAGTCCTGATTAGTCCCCATATGTACAATTCATTGTTCTTTTTTTTGGGGGGGGGATAAAATAACAATTTAAAAATGTAAACTCCAATGAATATTTACAAAAATGTACAAACAATATACAGTGTGTTTCAAAAAGAATACGCCAAAATCATCACGTGATATGTCAAAAACGGAAAAAATTACAAACCTCTAGCATGAACACATGTGTTGTATATACATTCCAGTTTCATTTCATGTTTTATAAGTGCTCAATGTGGCCACCACCGGCAGCGCAGACAACATCAAGCCGATATGAGAATTCCTTCCAAACGCGCCTCAACATGTCACAGTTGATTGCAGCTGTTATTCGATCTCTCAAGTCATCGATACTTGCTGAAAGTGCTGGAACATAAAGTTGGTCTTTAACATATCCCCACAAGAAAATGGTCACACACAGTGAGGTCCAGGGATCTGTCAGGCAAAGCACAGAGAGCAAGGTCTTTAGCACCTCTCCTCCCAATCCATCGCTGAGGCATGTTTTCATTCAGATAAGCTCTAACCCCGAGATAACAATAGGGTGGTGCTCCATCTTGCTGAAAAATGAAGTCATTCGAATCTGCTTGCAGTAAAGTGAATAGCCATTTTTGGAGCATTTCCAGAAGTTATACTAACGACAGCGGTGAGACTGACACGCAATCAAACTTTGATAACTACTCTATCAAATAACCACTGATTCAATCCACTACAATGCTATAGACCTGAAAAAACAGTGTAATGATTTTGGCGTATTCTTTTTGAAACACCCTGTATATATATATATATAGAGAGAGAGAGTTCGCGGTGTTTCAAAAAAGGGTCTGGACACACACACACACATATATATATATATATATATATATATATATATATATATATATATGCTTTGTGGTGTAATGGATGAGTTTGAATTCCAGTCGAGTTCGTTAGATTAACTTACACACAAATACCCTTGGGGAAAGGCATGAACCCATCTCTTCTACCCCTAGTTATGGGTTGATTAGCAGGACAGACTGTGTTCGTTAGCCTTGGTTGGAAACCAGTCTATTGCAGAAAGAAATGGCAACCCCTACTGCGTGGGGGGGAGGGGGGTCGCTTTCCAGTTATGCATTGTGAGCGACAAAGCGAGCGGCGTTTAGTTGACTGATATATATATATATATATATATATATATATATATATATATATATATATATATATATATATATATATATATATATAAATAATTATTATAACATAACTTGATTGTCTTTCCTATTTTCTTTGCCAAAGAAATTAAGCAGGCATTTTGAAAATATCTTTTCTTTAAGCAAAGGTTCCTATTAGTATTCAGAAACGATTCATCAAGGTTTTATGTATTGTATATATATATATATGAGTTTTGAAATAGAGAAAGTAATGTTAGAATTGAGAAACACTGGTACATAGCGGTTCGTAACAAAACCATTGTCAGTCAAGGGTGCTAATCCCCTTCCGGTTGCTGAAACGATGCATGCAACAGTATTATACACACACACACACACACACACACACACACACACACACACACACACACACACACACACACACATATATATATATGGTCAATATATATATATAAATTTTCAAGAGGACAGAATCCAAGTAGAGCTCAATGTCCAGGACAGAGCAAGGCAAGAATATTATAATATAATATTAGTGTTTGAGCCTTATTTGCCTACTTATCCTTATGTGTGTGTGTGTGTGTGTGTGTGTGTGTGTAAGTCATTGAAATAGAAAGAGGGAAGAACAGGAGAAGGAGACGCAGAGAGGCAGAGAGAGATTAAGGATTGTATACAAACTGAAGTGCCAATATTTAGAGATTGACATGGGAGAAAATATTGAGCTTGACATGGGAGCAAATACGGAGATTGACACGGGAGCAAATATCGAGACTGACACGAAAGCAAATACGGCGGTTGACACGGAAGCAGATATCGAGATTGACATGGAAGTAAATATCGAGATTGACACGGAAGACAACTTTCATTTTGCGATTTGAAACAAAGATTGAATCTTATTAAATAAGGTTGAATAAGACTTATATAACGTAAATGTGTTTTCATAGTTTTTCTTTTTTTTTGTGGAAATGTTTTTAAAATCAACCATTTGGCTGTATTCGTTAAAAATGAATTTTGATAAATAATAATTAAATACATTTAATCTAAGCTGCCTTTTATCGTCCCGCTATGAGTTAAATAACAGGGTAGACTGTGCACTCTAGCCTTAGTTGGAAAAAGGCAACTCTGAATTCAAAAGCGTATGTAACCCTGGCGAGGAAACACCTGCTATGCAGCCATCGAAAAACGCGTGAATTTCCAAATGACTTCCATGATCTCGAACGCAGTCGATCTGATTCGTACCCTTTCTGGTAAAATGTAATTACGATCTGATTCGTACCCTTTTTGGTAAAATGTAATTACGATCTGATTCATACCCTTTCTAGTAAAATGTAATTACGATCTGATTCGTACCCTTTTTGGTAAAATGTAATTACGATCTGATTCATACCCTTTCTGGTAAAATGTAATTACAATCTGATTCATACACTTTCTGGTAAAATGCAATTACGATCTGATTCATACCTTTTCTGGTAAAATGTAATTACGATCTGATTCATACCCTTTCTGGTAAAATGCAATTACGATCTGATTCATACCGTTTCTGGTAAAATGTAATTACGATCTGATTCATACCCTTTCTGGTAAAATGCAATTACGATCTGCTTCATACCTTTTCTAGTAAAATGTAATTACGATCTGATTCATACCTTTTCTGGTAAAATGTAATTACGATCTGATTCATACCCTTTCTGGTAAAATGTAATTACGATCTGATTCATACCCTTTCTGGTAAAATGCAATTACGATCTGATTCATACCGTTTCTGGTAAAATGTAATTACGATCTGATTCATACCCTTTCTGGTAAAATGCAATTACGATCTGCTTCATACCTTTTCTAGTAAAATGTAATTACGATCTGATTCATACCTTTTCTGGTAAAATGTAATTACGATCTGATTCATACCCTTTCTGGTAAAATGCAATTACGATCTGATTCATACCCTTTCTGGTAAAATGTAATTACGATCTGATTCATACCCTTTCTGGTAAAATGCAATTACGATCTGATTCATGCCCTTTCTGGTAAAAGGTAATTACGATTTGATTCATACCCTTTCTGGTAAAATGTAATTACGATCTGATTCGTACCCTTTCTGGTAAAAGGTAATTACGATCTGATTCGTACCCTTTTTGGTAAAATGTAATTACGATCTAATTCGTACATTTTCTGGTAAAATGTAATTACGATCTGATTCGTACTCTTTCTGGTAAAATGTAATTACGATCTGATTCGTACCCTTTTTGGTAAAATGTAATTACCATCTGATTCATACCCTTTCTGGTAAAATGTAATTACGATCTGATTCGTACCCTTTTTGGTAAAATGTAATTACGATCTGATTCGTACATTTTCTGGTAAAATGTAATTACGATCTGATTCGTACATTTTCTGGTAAAATGTAATTACGATCTGATTCGTACCCTTTCTGGTAAAATGCAATTACGATCTGATTCATACCCTTTCTGGTAAAATGTAATTACGATCTGATTCGTACCCTTTCTGGTAAAATGTAATAAAATTCCACACAGACTAATAAAAATTGTGAGCATAAATTTCCAGCGAAAACTCGCCTTTCAACCACGTATTTAGTTGGTAACATTCATAAATTAGCTTAAAACTTTTGACTACACCAAATACAGGCTTGAAATGGACGTGTGTATATAGAGGAATTTATTCATGGTGTATCTGAAAGTCTGTTAATGAGAACAAAATGCTCTGTTAAATGTTAATATTGTTTGGAATAATTGAAAGGTGTGAATTAAGCACGGGATGTAATTAAATAAGCAAAAATATTAATTAGAGGCAAACAAATTAACACAATGAGTTAATTCATTCATATAATATTCTACTTTACATGGACAGCGTTATGAATTATGTGTTTATCTTTTATCGACAAATGATTAGGGAGGGGGAGGAGTGAAAAAAGAGTGAAGGCGAAGAAAATTAAAAAAGAGAGTAAAATGATAAATACATACTTACAGACGTTTAACAAACAAAGCCTGAATGAAGGGGAGTAAAAAGATATCGGCATACCTGCAGAGAAGGAGAATGACAGAGTGAGTGAGTGGGGGGGGGAGTAAAGAGAAAAATACATACATATACATGGAGGCGGGGTGGGAATGAGAAACAAAAAAGTGATTAAAAGGGAGTAAAGAGATAAAGGCATACATACAGAAGTGGAGTGACAAACAGAGAGTGCATGAAGCGGAGGAAAGAGAGAAAATATATATCTACAGATAGGGAGGAATGACATACAGAGAATGAGTGAAGGGGGGGTAAAGATAAAAATACATACATACTGAGGGGGGGAGGATGAAAAGCAAAAAGTGGGTGTATGGGGAGCAAAGAGATAGATGCATGCATTTTTATATTTCTATATTATATATATATATTTTATATTTCCAATAAGCAAAATACTTTGCTGTATTTCAAAGCTAATTTAAATTGACCGGAAAGAGTTTTCGTTTTGAAATTGCTAAAATATTTGATTTATAGCAACATTTTTAGCCATCTTTCATCACAATGTAATTCGCTTTCTTAAAAAATCTATAAAAAAATCTATAATTTTCTGAAACTTTATTTGAAGAATATTAACTGATTTAAAGTTTAATTAATCTGATTTTGAAACAAATATTACTTTAAGATTGAAATATCGCAGAAATGCATTTTTTAACACGGTGGTAGCTGTTTATTTTAGGTGCCGACAGCTTGAATGACAGGCATTATCTAATATTTTACGGATATTATCTGCAAATTTTACTTGAGGAATAAAACGTATATCTTTATCTTATATATAAAAACGTAGGTACACGTATATGTACTAATTAATATTTATCTTTGCTCCGTCTAACGACATCGAGCACTATTATGTTTACACCTCATGTATAAATTTGACGATTATTTATTTGCTTGCGTGTGTATGCACAAGAGCACGCGCGTATAAGCTTGTTTATATCTAACCGTTTGATCTATCTTATATATATATATATATATATATATATATATATATATATATATATATATTGTTATAAAGGAAGAGGTTATAGTAGCTCCAACGAGAAAAAAGTGTGTATATTAAAAAGAAGAGAGAAACCGCAAACGTTTTTGGTTGTAATGTGGATTTAAAAAAAAAAAACATTATGCTTTATTTTCCATAATTTTGCTACACGGGTTTCTGGTCTCGCGACCTTCATCAGGCAAAGGGTGGCGATTTACACATATAATTAAAAAAATAATTAATTTCTTTCTTATGTTTTTCGATGTTAAATATTCTCGATATGAGACACTCTCTTTTTTGTGTGTTAGTGACCCAAATGTCTTTCAAAGGGTTTTTTTTTTCTTTTAACTGGACTTCTGCCGGAAGTTTTATACTGACAGCAATATCCCCGAGATTTCAATCCTGGTAGCACCGACAACAAACATCAAAACGAGTCGGATATGACGTTCACTAGTGTGTAGACGCTGGCATGAAAACCGCGTCTCTGAATCCTGTTTTTTTTTTTTTTAGGGTAAGGCGATTTTATTTTAATGCCGGAAATAGCATGAGTGGCGTCACTTTGTGTTTTTACAGAGAGACGTGTATTTTGCTGTGAATCTGCTACGAGCGGAATGATTCAAACATGAAGAAAATGGCGTGATTATTATTATTATTATTATTATTATATTATTATTATTTTTTGTTAAAATATTATTTATAAACATTTATATATTACAAATGTCACATATATATATGATGAAAAAGGTTTCAGTTTCAGCAAACCAACATCTTCAGCTTTTTCTATCAGTGCATAATTATAAAGTACGGTTGCCTTTTTTTTATCCCCCTTTCCTTCATACATATATATTATTACGTCAGCAAAAAACATTACTTTAGAGTCTAGACACTACCACTGACTTGCTGAAAAATTAGCATACAAAAAAAATGCCCCAAACTTAATAAAAAGACGTTTTATCCTCAAAGAGGAAAGACCAAAGGATTTTTTGATTATTAAATTATATTTTTTTTTATCCCTTTCAGAACGTTCAAAATTTTGTCTATATTTCTGAGATGAGGCATTATGTACACTATTTACATTACTATTGTCCTCATCTTTGTTGCCATATTTATCACAACGTTTCGGCCGTTGTACGCTCCGGCCTTCTTCGTGTGGTTGGAATGTCGACCTGAACACTTTAGTTCGCTCGCTGGGGTGGACTGTTCTAGTTCCACGTGCCATGTCTAATGGATGCCAGTTATCTCCTGTTGATTCCTCTCTTCAAGTTCTCGGCCGCCTAAACCAGGTATTGAAACCTGAAGAAGGCCAGAGCGTACAACGGCCGAAACGTTGTGATAAATATGGCAACAAATAATGTAAATAGTGTTCAAAATTTTGTTTAAAAATCTTTTTGTGTGTGTGTGTGTGTGTCAGCTTGATCGTGGCAAAGATTAATATAGAAGATTTATTGTCTTTTTTGCAGTGAAAAACATTGATTTGGAAATTCTTGCAAAAATCAAATAATTGCTGGATTTTAATGAATAATTGTTGTAAATGCAAAAAGTCGTTCCGAAAACAATCTACTTCCCATTTGCCCATATATATATATATATATATATATATATATATATATATATATATATTAAAAACGAAGAGAGAGAAACCGCAAACATTTTTGGTTGTAATGTGAATTTTTAAAAAAATATATTATGCTTTATTTTCCATAATTTTGTGTGTTAGTGGCCGAAATGTCTTTGAAAGACACTTGGGTCACTAACACACTCAAAAGAGAATGTCTCATATCGAGAATGTTTAACATCGAAAAACATAAGAAAAAAATTTAATTATTTTTTAATATGTGGAAATCTCCACCCTTTGCCTGATGAAGGTCGCGAGACTAGAAAAAAGTTTCTGCAAGCTAGCCATTTTCTCTCGTTTGCCCCCAATAAATATTACCCTCAGTTTGCTTTTGGAACACTCTACGTGTATAGGCCGTTCTTCTGCTGCCTGACGATTACATGGATGCACTCTTCTAAACAATTTCGTCGTAGTGAATTGTTATCTCTTTGGATCACAGTAGCATTCCATTTGTGCGTGTATGTGTGTGTGTGTGTCTCTGTGTGTGTGTGTTAATGTCGATCAATTTAGACAGAAATATATGCAGATTTAGCAAGTTTCATTTTTGGAAATATCTTCTGAAATGAATATTTTTGCCAAACACGCAAATTAATTGTCGGACAAAAGATTTTTAAAGCATGAATAGCCTTCATCTCGGAGTCATTCATAAAAGTCACGTGGCTTTCCTGTTTTGTATGTCTTTCAAAATGTCAATTGACTGTAGGTCACTCACTTCTAATTGCAGATATGATGGGCAGAACTCAATAATCATTTTCTACGTCTCGTGTCCTTTCAGAACGTGGGCGATCATGGCGCTCCACAACCTCCTGCTTCTGGTATCTCTTGGTAATGTCTCTTCCTTTGTCATCCCTATCACCCACTGTTCCACCATTCATTCACACAAGATCGTCAGATATGTGGCCCGCTGTCTTCCCTTGTCTCATTTGCCTTCGATACATCTTGTGAGCGTCAAATTCTCTAAGCCTTCCTTCCTCGGTAAGTGTCCCAGAAACTTCAGATATCTCTTTCTGATTCTGCGCATAATTTAATATAGAGATAGACTCACATATCATCCGGCCACACTCCTTTTATGTTTATTGGACAGGAGTGAAAGATCGGCCCTTGTTCCATTTTGGATATAGTCTACCGGTTCTTTCTTCTTTCATGGCCATAATGATTCAACTGTCTTGGTGATCGGACTAATGCCTAGCTGCAACGTTCCATTATGAGTGTAACAGGTGAGCAGTTCGCTTTCTGCTGCATTCGATTACTAGTAGGGAGCCCGAACCTTTTGGTAGCGCTCAGAGAAGCTGCTCTGATCAACAGTCGCATAATATCTTGGTATTTGTAGTACCGTGTCGCGCATGGGTAGGTGTCCCTGCATATATTTCCGGTGAGTAACCCTGAGGACCCACTATGCTCTGATCTCAGCCACATTCTGTTTAGTTTGTGTTGCCATTGACGACTGATAGCGATAATTATATTGGAACTTTTCCTTTTCTTTTTCTTTTCAAAACAAATCTCCTCATGACAAATAAAATGAAAAGAAATACGAGAAAACCAATAAACAAAAACAAACAAAAAAAACACCTACCCATTTCAAACTTTCTTTCTCCAATGTGTGTGGCCTCCCTTTCAACTTCTGCAGTATAGGGTCCTCTTTCGCTTTGCTGAAAAGATTCTAGCATTCACATGCATGGACTTGGACTTTACATCCAGGATAATCTTCCAATGGTATGGTCAAATTGGCGGCCTATGTCAAAAATAAACTTCAGTCTGTTGTTAACTGGGGCAAAGGATGGTTTGCTAATTTTAACGCCTCCAAAACTGCTCTGTATTAATCATATGAGAGACCCCTTTCTGCCTTCCATCAGTATGGCTGATGCTAACCTCCAAGAGAGTGACCCACTGCGCCTTCTCGGGCTAACGTTCTCGACTGACATAAAGTAGAAAGACTATACTGAATCCATTGCTAGGTCTGCTGCTGAGAAATTTGGTTCATTGTGCTAGACAAATTTTCTTTCCAGAATCTATCTTACATATCTATAAGTCTACCATTCGTCCATGCTTAGAATATTACTGCAACATATCGTCTGGTGCTCCTGCTATATATCTAGAGATCTTTGATAAAATTCAAAGAAGAATCAGCAATATTATTGGTCCTGTTCTGGCGTCTCGGCTTCAGTCACTTCCCAACCGACGTAAAGTTGACTCCCTTTGCCTTTTCTATAAATACTTGCATGGCAACTGTTCGGATGAGATCTTCGCTATGGTACCTGGACTTTATGAATTTAAGCGCAGTACTAGACTGGCGATGAGGTCTCACCAATTTACAGTTGTGTTGGTTAGCTGTAACCGTAAGTTTTATGCTAAAAGTTTCTTTTTTTCGCACTTTTTGCCTGTGGAACTCTCTTCTGACTCCATGTTTTCCAGTCAACTTTAATCTTCAAAACGTAAATGCAGTGTCAACCGCTATTTACTGCCTTCCTGATTACTCTTATATTTTTCTCGCTCGTTGTTAATGTTTCTGTTTTCTAATTCTTCCATACAGAGTAACCCCTTGCGTCTCAGTGGCTTTACTGCCTTGTTTGGGTTGAACTCGATTAACAAAAAGTGTCCTTTTTATTTCCATTTTTCCTTGAGAATTCTTCATTGCTCGCTCCGTCCATGATATTGTCAGCGTCCTTCTTTAGAAACACATCTTGTCTCTTTTTTATTTGTGAGGAGAGATTCTTCAGTATTTACTGTCATATAAGAGAAATGATATTACGTATAAGTTCACCAATCTCTTCTTGGTTTCTAACGAAATTATCCTGTTTCTTAGTATGTTACGTTGTTTTATCATTTCACCCAAAACAAGGCGATAATGCCACTAAGACGCAAGGGGCTACTGGGAGTGAAAGAGAATGAGAAGATTTTAGGAGTAGGAACCGGAAACACAAGCCTAAAAAGGAAACAAGGAATAAACCTCTACTCTTGTTCAAAAGGAGTGTGAACCGGGCGAGGCATAGATTTTGCGATGCGCGTTCGAATTTCGGTGTCGCATTTTCTATAAATAAAATACTGTTTCTTTTTATCTATAATAATATTAACAGAAAATACATTTATAATTTCCGAATCATAGTAAATTGTACAGGGTGCGGCAGAAATACCTCCCACATATATCCCTCGGAAATATCACCTACGTATACCTCCCAGAAATACCTCCCACATATACCTCCCAGAAATACCTCCCACATATACCTCCCACATAATGGTACGACATTAGTGGCAATGGTATGTGGGAAAATGAAATAAAATCGAAAATGAAATAATAATAATAATAATAGTAATAATGAGTAATAAAAAAAGAAGACACTCATTTTCCCATGATGCTAAGAGTAAAGGAACCAGAAATACGATTACCGCACTTGATTTCCCCTAACGTCGTTAGGTGGCGATGTTGAAGCCTATAAAAAGACAAACATTTCTGACCTCACTCTCTTTCTCATCTTTGCTTCAAGATGTGAACAACATGGTAATTATGCCCCCACTTGGGAATATTAGTTTCCCTGCTCCACTGACCACTGAAATCTCTTCCATCGCATAACGCTCGCGAATTTCTTCCCAAAACCTCAACCTTTGAAGCAAGTCAAGCTTTCTCTTTGGTTGTTTTAACTCAACACAAAGCTGACTTGAGCACGACCATAGTAACGATGCTTATACTGACTTACCCTAATTACTGGGACAAAAAGAAACTAGTCACCATAAATAGAATAAACGTTTGTAGTAAAACTCAAGTGTTGTATGCTTCTATATTCTTTGTTAAATTCCATGGGTGTCTTCATGTAGTTAAATGCCTTAATGTGGGAGGTAAATATTGAAGATATTTCGGCCGCACACTGTATATGCACCTTATACACAAGCTGGATAAATTATCACGTTAGTTCGGATTTAACTTATAAGCGACGGATTTGTTAATCCCTGTTATCGACAATAAAATAGATTGTTAGAAACCTTTGTTTATTTCTGCTGGGTAATTAGATTCTTTATTGAGGTATTTAGGATAAAAAGCTTCTGTCAGAGAGATTTGTTCAGCTTAGCCTTTAATTATGTTCGCTTCTGTTTTACTTGCGTAAATGTTCTTTTGTTCTCAGTTAAATAATTGTTTTTGTCGCTCCCGGTTTAGAATTTCGTGGCGGGTAATAAAATCACAGGAGAAAAAAAATGCACAATTGGTTTACGGTGGCCAGTAATAAATTCATGTATTTGTGTCGGGTACTTCACAAGTTTATGGGTCCGCTCTGTTTACAAGAGAAATTCATAACAAATAGATCCAAACTCTAACTAAAAGATGTTTTCAAACAATGCAACGGTCACATGTCCGATATATTTCACAGTTACAATCTCCGTGGTTTGTTTACGTTTTGGTACAAACTTAAAAAAAACATCCTTGTTAAGTCATTTTTTTCAAATAAAGTCGGGTTTTATGGGAGACTAGGACTCTCTAACTATGAAATATATCAAATATGCGACGGTAGCTTTGTTAGAAAACGCTCTTTTAGATGATGGATCGATTTACTATGAATTCCAATTGCAAATAGAGCGGACCCATAAACTCGAGAAGTACCCGACAGAAATAGGTATTTCTTGTATATATAAGTGTATATATTGTATTGTACCAACTTGGTTAAAGGGTCCATAATAATAACCACCACACAGTTTAACCTGCCGGTAGAAGTGTTACTCATTTTTATTCACACATAACAATATGGCCGACACGGTACTTCTGTATCTGAAAAATAGCTGAAATGGCGCTTCCGTTTTCTTAGTTTCCCGTTACAACAGGATATTATTATTAATGTCTAGATTTGACATTAAAATTTAAATCAAAAGTTCTTTGAATTCTCAATGTTAAATTTATTTCTTTTTGTATAGGATACTTTTATTCATGAGACTGGCATTTTGTCCACTGGGATTTGTCCATTGGGTTTTTGTCATGGATTTACTAAAAACGTGCATAAAGGATAGTGAGAAAGAGACAGAGAGAGAGAAGAAGAAGAAGAAGAAGAAAGGAGAGAAAGAGAGAGATAAGAAGTAAAGAAAGAAAGAGATAAGAAGTAAAGAGAGAAAGAAAGAGATAAGAAGTACAGCGAGAAAGAGAAAGCAATAAGAAGTAAAGAAAGAAAGAGAAAGAGATAAGAAGAGAGAAAAAGATAAGAAGTAAAGAGAGAAAGAGAAAGAGAGAGATAAGAAGTAAAGAGAAAAAGAGGAAGGGAGAAATAAGAAGTAAAGAGAGAAAGAGAGAGATAATAAGTAAAGAGAGAAAGAGAAAGAGAGATAAGAAGTAGAGAGAGAGAGGAGAAAGAGAGAGAGAGAGATAAGTAAAGAGAAAAAGAAAAAGAGAGAAAGATAAGTAAAGAGAAAAAGAGAAAGAGAGATAAGAAGTAAAGCGACAAAGAGATAAGAGAGAAAGAAAGAGAGATAATAAGTAAAGAGAGAAAGAGAAGATAAGAAGTAAAGAGAAAGAGAGAAAGTGGTAAGAAGTACAACGAGAAAGAGAAAGCGATAAGAAGTAAAGAGAGAAAGAGAGAGAGATAAGAAGTAGAGAGAGAGGAGAGAGAGACAAGAAGTAAGAGAAAAAGAGAAAGAGAGAGAGAGGTAAGATGTAAAGAGGGGAAGAGATAGATATGAAGTAAAGAGAGTAAAAGAGAGAGAGAGAGATAAGAAGTAAAGAGAGAAAGAGGATATGATAGTCGATAAATAATTACGACTTGTCAACCCTTTGTGGGTCATTTAAAGCTGAAACATGAGGAGGGGCATACAGTGCCCAGTGTTCAAAAGCGACTCCCCAAATAAGTACTGGTTTACGGTCACGTTGAAACACTGGTTCTCGTAGCATCACCAAAGTTAAGCAACGTCAAGCCTAGTCAGTACCGAGACGGGTGGCCGCATGGGAATACTAGGTGTTTTAAGCTTGAATGTGCGAATTGGGTAATGGCTTGGAATTGTTAATCGGAGAGCCGAGTTCAAATTCCCACTGGGTTCGTTATATTCACTTACGCGTAGATACCATTGGGAAAGTTGTGAATCAACCTTTTCTCCTCCAGCTGCAGGTTAATTAGTAAGATTTGTATCACTAAATCATTATTATGGCAAAAAAATTCTTACAATCTAAAAATAGTTTTTGGCTTTAAATAACCTACAAAGGGTTGATAAGCCATAAAAATCCAATCAATCAAACCATCTGAGTGCGGACTGGACTCGGCGTTGCTTAACTTCGGTAATCGGACAAGAACCGGCGTTTCTTTGAAATAGAAAAGCAAAGAAAGTGAAAGAAAAATAGAAGTTTTCCGGTTCCAACAAATCATGCATATATATATATATATATATATATATAATCCTCTTGTAATTATTTTTTATACATATATATATATGTATGTGTATGAATGTATATATATTTATGTATTTTAGATATATGATTGCATATGTATGTGTATATTTACCACTAATATTATATATATATATATATATATATATATATATATATATATATATATATATATATATATATGCATGCATGTTGCAACTCATGAGCGGAAACCTGGTTTTAGAGACCCTAACAAAACGGATATTGTCGGAAAGACTTCCGAAAAACCATTATCGATCTGATTCGACCAGAAAGTTAACGTAAAGCAAATTGTAACACGACTCAGCTTTAAGATCCATCATCTGCAACTAACGAACTTTACTTCTTTACAAGCTTTTCTTCACTCTTTTCAGATGTAAAGCAAAAGAAAGATTAATGGAAAATCTAGCGAAGACAAATTTCTTTTTCATTCTCTTCTAAAAAAAGAAAAATTTATAAGAAAATAATGCCAAATAATTAATGGGTGAATATAAAATAAATGCAAAATAAATGAAAATAAAAAAAATGAAAAATATAATGCAAAATAAATGCAAAATAAAATGCAAAATAAATGAAAATAAAATAAATGCAAAATAAAATGCGAAATAAATGCAAAATAAATGAAAATAAAATAAATGCAAAATAAAATGCAAAATAAAATCCAAAATAAATGAAAATAAAATAAATGCAAAATAAAATGCAAAATAAATGCAAAATAAAATGCAAAATAAATGAAAATAAAATAAATGCAAAATAAAATGCAAAATAAAATGCAAAATAAATGAAAATAAAATAAATGCAAAATAAAATGCAAAATAAATGCAAAATAAAATGCAAAATAAATGAAAATAAAATAAATGCAAAAGAAAATGCAAAATAAATGCAAAATAAAATGCAAAATAAAATGAAAATAAAATAAATGCAAAATAAAATGCAAAATAAAATGCAAAATAAAATGCAAAATAAATGAAAATAAAATAAATGCAAAATAAAATGCAAAATAAATGCAAAATAAAATGCAAAATAAATGAAAATAAAATAAATGCAAAATAAAATGCAAAATAAAATGCAAAATAAATGAAAATAAAATAAATGCAAAATAAAATGCAAAATAAATGCAAAATAAAATGCAAAATAAATGAAAATAAAATAAATGCAAAATAAAATGCAAAATAAATGAAAATAAAATAAATGCAAAATAAAATGCGAAATAAATGCAAAATAAAATAAAGGTGAATATAAAATAATGCAAAATTAATACAATAAACTAATTTTGTTTTTCATTCACTTGAGGAGAGAATATAAAAATTTATATAAAAAAATTGTAAATTAAATAAGTGGTTTATAAAAAGGTGAAGATAAAAAAATTAAATTAATATTTTAATTGACTTCTACATGTTCCGTATTTCTTCAAGACGTAGGCAATCATGGCTCTCCACAATTTCCTATCCTTCGTAGCTCTTAATAAATTTTAGCATTTTGTTATTTCCCCTAACCTTTGTTCCGCCATCCATTTACACAAGGTAGGTTATACGTTGTTTTCTTCTGTCCCTCTTGCCTTTAATCTGTCCTGTGAGTATCAAATTTTCCAAGCCCTCTTTCCTCATTATGTACCCTAGAAATTTCAACTCTCTCTTCCTGATGTTACGTATAAGTACCCTTTTTGTTTCCATTTTCTCTAAAACTTCGTCGTTGCTCACATATTTCGATCCAGCGTATCCTCAGCATGCTTTTGTAGAAGCATATTTTTGTTGCCTCAAATCTCTTCATTTTTGAAGAGATAGTCCAGCATTTACTGTTATATAGGATGACATATATCATGTAACAGTTCAGTACTCTTTTCTATGTTTCTAACGAAATTTTTTCTGTTTCTTAATACACTGCTTAGCTTTTGGAAGGCACCTTTGGCTATCCCAATACCCCTTTTGATTTCAGTGTCGCATTTTCTGTCCATTATTAAAATACTTCCCGGATATTTAAAGTTTCGTGCTTGTTTGATTTTGGTATCCCCGATTTGTAATTTGCATTTTGAGATCACCCCTTTTGCTAACGACCATGGATTCTGTCTTCTTTTAGTTGATGTTTAATCCTTTCTTCTTGATTTCCCTCATTACCTTCTGTAAGAGTTCTTGAAACTAACGAAGAAAAAGTTTCGTTGTTTTAGAGTAGTTTGTCGTGTTTTTTTTTTCCTCTTTTTTCTTCTTAAATGACCGAACAATACAAATTTCTGGGAATAATATTTGATAAAAAAACACACATTCATTCCACATCTGAAATACTTAAAACAAAAATGTTTCAAAACACTACAACTTTTGCGGGTTATAGCTAACACAGAATGGGGAGCAGATCGCATATCACTCCTAAAAATATGAAGAACACTAATAAGATCCAAATTGGATTATGGAAGTTTCATTTATGGTATGGCCAGGAAATCCTACCTAAAAATTCTTGACCCCATCCACCACACAGGTCTAAGACTTGCTGTTGGTGCCTTTAAAACATCTCCCAGAGAAAGCCTATATGTTGAAGCTCATGAGGCTCCTCTAAAACTGAGACGTGAGAAATTAGCTATACAATATTACCTAAAACTCAAATCCAATCCATCAAATTCGGCCTATCAATGCACATTCAATCCAAACTATAAACATCTGTTTGACAAAAAAGAAAATGTTATCAAACCTTTTGGTCTTTATATGGAAAAAATGATAAAACCACTTACAGACAAGTTTGATAGACAAAAATAGCATACATGAATTCAAGCTACCCAAACATCCACCTTGGCTATTGGAACGACCAAAAGTCATTTTAAGACTGGCTGCCCACACTAAATCTGACACACACCCCTTATACTATATAGAAAAACTACATGATATTCTGGAACAATACCCAAATTGGGCCCACATATATACCGAAGGCTCCAAAGTAAAAAACAAAATAGGATGTGCGGCTATCTTTAAAAGATTACCTAACAACTCCTCAATTTTTAGTGCTGAAATTACAGCCATTGATTTAGCTCTAGACCTCATCATTAAACTTAACTCAAATAAATTCATTATTTTTGCAGACTCATTGTCAGTACACGAATCATTAAAAAAGCAAAAATTAAACAATCCTTTGCTCATTAAACTCCTACATAGAATACATGCGATCTCACAAAATAAAACCATCATTTTCTGTTGGATTCCCAGCCTCTCTGGTTTTCATGGAAACGAAAAAGCCGATGTGGCGCAAAAAACTCTCTGAAACTTAACACAAGTAACATAAAGGTTCTATACACTGACTATAACCCCCTAATAAATGACTTTATTTTGAAGAAATGGCAAGACGCTTGGAACAACTGTCAAAACAACAAATTATTTAAAATCAAACCCTCTCTAAAGAAACAACTAACTGAACACAGAAAATCCCGCAAAGAAGAAGTGGTTTTATCCCGTATTCGCATAGGACACACGCACATAACTCACTCCTTCCTCCTAAAAGACGAAGATCCTCCTGAATGCATAGCATGCCAAGAGGCTTATACTGTGAAGCACTTCCTGCTTGAGTGCGGTGACATGGCACATATTCGAAAATTATTTTACAACGTGAACAACTTGAAAGAACTTTTCGAAAAATCAAACCCCAATTTGATCTTGACCTTTCTTAGGAAAGTTGGACTATATAATAAAATATAATTCCAATTTGGTGTCTGGTGATGTAAGGAGGAACTTTGATACTTGCCAGGTGAGAAATTTTCAAAGAACAACGCACTTCTGAAAACAGTGAATTTTTAAAAAAAGCAAGACAACATCGAAAAAGAAGGAAAGGAAAGGGAAAGCCTTTTTGAAAGCATTTCAACCTTATCTAAAGAAAAAGAAAAAAACAAAAAACAAGTGTTTGACCTTAAATGATCTCTTGATGATCGATGGGTTGTTAAGTTTTAAACAAACAAACAAATCTTCTTTTCTTCAACCATTATTTGAAGTAGGATTATTTGAGATATCAAGCGTTGGTGAACTCCGGTTTCCGGGTTAAATTTGGCACACCCTGTAACATTTCTGCTATGGGTAGATAAATATCACAAGAAAAAAATTCAGAACTAAGGCTTATAGATAGGAAAAGGTCATAGATAAAATTTAATTTAAAATAGGATATATTTTAATAGAAAAGTAATATGGGAGATTATATCATGATATATATATATATATATATATATATATATATATATATATATATTTATCTTGTGTAATTTTTCATTGATGCATGTTTCATTAAATGATATAGACAAATTTTGTCTATTTATTTTAGGTAAGTTCCTTTCATATTGTTTGATAAACTTAATCGCATTACCGTTGAAAGGCGAAAGGAAATCACCATATTGATACATGTTTAAATCCAATCTAAGCTTTCGGCTTACATAAGCCATTATTAAAGATGAAAATTTCTATAAATCAAACAACACACAGGTATGGAAATAGATTTGTCTTTGTTTTTTACTTCCCGGTAATAATATATTTTCGTTGTCCTGTTATTACCGAGAAGTAAAAAACAAAAACAAATCTATTTCCATACCTGATGATGTC